CAATTTGTTTTCAGGAACAGACCAGGTATGTATGGGCCTGCTCTTTTTGTCTGAAAGTCCTCAACAATTACTACCGTCTGAGTGCTTACAGAATGTCTGATACAAAGGTATGTTATTTCACCCAACGTAACATCTTACTAGCAAATTTACTCTGCAGCAAAAATATGCAAGGTTAGTCTTTAAAAATGGGATGAATTTCTGGTATCATAAAGACCAGAATGGGCTTCTGAAAGTACAGCCAATGTGTGAAGTCTCAAAGGGCATCTTCTGCCAGGATGGGGTAAAATAATCTAGAATGCAGTACACACAATCAGAAACCTTTATATAGGATTCCTTTTTTTTCCCCTTTGGTACCAGGAATCAAACTCAGGACCTTGCGCTTGCCAGGCAGGTGCTTGTGCCGCTAAGCTAAATCCCTGGCCCAGAAAGCTTTGTATAGGACTGTGTTGTAAATAAGAATACCGCTTAGAATCAAGAGGCACAAGCAAACTGGCTCCATTTAGCATCACTCCCACTGGCTGTGGTGTGCATGGATGGGGATAAGTCTGTTGGGTCAGCCATACTTATCTGCGTTGGAGAATGCCCTGAAAAACATACAGCCCATGTTACATTACCCACAGGTGTGCTCTCTATTCTTCCTCAAACATCAAACCTGCCACTCCACATGGGGGCTGATCCCGTGCGTGGAGTTTACTGTGATTAGTTTTTTTTGTTGTTGTTGTTTTGTTTTTTTGGTATCGGGAATCGACCTCAGGACCTTGCGCTTGCCAGGCAGTCATTTGTGCCGCTGAGCTATATCCCTGGCCCACGTGGAGTTTACAAAAATAGGCCACGGGCAGTGCCTTTTTTGTCTTGTGGCTGAGTTGACCCAAGAACAAGTAATTAAGAGACCAAGTAGGTGTGTGTGTGGGTGCGTGTGTGCACGCACGTGTGTGTGTGTGTTTGGAGGCTACTGGTCATACACTTCAGAAGCAGTCTAAAATCTTTAGTGGGGTAAATCAGGAGGGCCTACTGATAATGAAGTTAGAGAATAGATGTAGACATTTTTAAAAATTTATTTTTAGAAAGTTAACACATAATACATTCACTTTCTCTGTGTGTATGCTCCTAATATTTTTCCACATGAATAGGTTTTGGAATCTATGACCACAAACAGGACACAAAACAATTCCAATACCTCAGTGAATTTCTCATGCATCCCCTTTGTATTGAGACCCTCCCCCAATCCCAAACATTTGGTAACTGTTGGTCAATTATGTTTAATATTTTTGCCTTTTCCCAAATGTCATCAAGTTGAATCATATAGTATGTAACATTTCAGACTGTTTTTTCCCTGTTGCATAATGCATTGGAAGTTCATTCATGTTGTAGACATCAGTAATTCATTTTTATTTATTCATTTTATCAGTAATTCATTTTTATTTGCATAATGCATTGGAAGTTCATTCATATTGTAGACATCAGTAATTCATTTTTAATTCATTTTGTTGTAGAACAGTACTCCATGGTGTGGATATCCCACAATATATTTATTTACTTAAAAAAAAACAACAACCAGGAAAAAAAAAGAAGTGGGGGCTGGGGATTTAGCTCAGCGGCACAGCGCCTACCTAGCAAGCGCAAGGTCGTAAGTTCGATTCCTGGTACCGGAAGAAAAAAAACAAAAAAACCAAACCCAGAAATATATTTATTTACTCATTGAACACTTCTGTCCCTTCCAGTTTTGGGTGGTTATAGGTGATACTATAAATATGAATGCACATTAAGTCCCTGAATTGTGTCTTTTTTTGAGACAGGGTCTTACTATGTAGTTCAGACTGGTCTTGAACTCACTGTGTAGCCCAGGATGGCCTTGAACTTGTGGTGATCTTCTTCTTCTGCCTCCAGAGTGTTGGAATTACAGGCATGCACCACCACGCCCGGCATTATGTCCCCAAATTATGAATGAGTTCCATTGCAGGAGAATGTTCATAAATCGGGTTCATTGGTAATCTGACAAAGTATCTTATACAGTGCACCTGTGAAACTTTGCAACTTGCATGTTCATAAACTGGGGACTTAATGTACAGGCTCTTGTGTGAAAATAAATTGTCATTTTTCCAGGTTAAATCCTTAAATGTGAGATCATGGGGTCATGGGGGTAGTGTATGTTCAGCTTTTTAAGAGACTGACAAGTTGCTTTCCAGATTACGTTTACCACTTTGTACTTGTATTAGCAGTTTGAGGGTAACTCCATTCCTTACCAGCACTTGGTATTCCTAGGGTTTTGAATAGCCCAAGATTATTAATGAGCACCTAAAATGGTTGAACCTCTGAAGTGTATGGTGGACATCAGTGTAGAGACCTATTTTTATTTTTTGTTGCACTTGGCATTGAACTCAGGAACTTCACACTGAGCTACATCCCAAGTTCCCCACACCCAGCCCCACCAGCCCTTTTAAAATTTTGAGACAGGGTCTTGCTTTCAGTTTAGGCTCAAACTCATGAATCTCTTGCGTTAGCCTGAGAATGCTGTTATTATACATCTGTGCCACCATGACCGGCGGGGGCCCGTGCTTTTTACCGCTGCATATTTCTTGTGAGCTGGGGCCTTGCAAGCTTGGTTCTATTGCTGACCAGAAATTGAATGGAGAGATTCAAGCACTATCTGGTAAGGAATGTTCATGTTTGAGCTACACTGTGCACTGTCTGATACAGGGACACTGGGAGAAAATATGCATGTTTTTTCATATGTAGCATCAGAAAATATACAAAAATTGAGAAACTTTACTGTAGGATAAAGTTACTTTACAGTTGAGTAAAGCTCTAACGTTATCTCTATGATGCCTGGGAATCTGAGTTTGTCTCTGGTGTGAGATATACGAGGTACTATTTAAAATCTGATACTGGCTGGGGCTATAGCTCAGTGGTACAAGTGCCTGCCTGGAAAGCACAAGATCCTGAGTTTGATTCCTGGTACACAAATTTAAAAAAAAAAAAAATCTGATACTGTCCTGAAGATACCTCCACCCCAGCCAGTGTGTTTGCTGGTGGTTCATAACTTACATGACCAATTAGATAATCTGGCTTCGGTGTAATCAGCAAACAGAGAACCCTTGCAGAGAGCTTCTGCCTTAAGCACTGACAAAGCCAACTCTCATGTAGAGCTTAGTGGTTCAATCCAGAGACCATGCAGTCTTTTGGGAAATACAGATACCAAGGAGCTTGCACCTGGATTATTCTCAGACATCCCCCATGCTTACAGACTCTGTTTTTGTGAGCCACATGATTTGCTTTTAAATAAAAACATGACATGAGTGTGCTCTCTGAGGTCTTCTTTAGTCTTTATAGCTGAGGGTTATCTCTCCACATCTTATGGTCTTGCAATTAGGTCTACAAAGTATGAACTGGCAAAATGACTCTTATTTCATCATATATATTAGGAGTGGAGTTCAATTCTAAAACCATGTTTGCTCCACAGAGATGCCCAAACTTAACAGCAATAGATCAATTAGATGGAAAGTCTTCGTTTCATGTATCAATTCATAAAGTGAAAATCCCTAAAAATGCACACACACACAAAAAAAAGGTCTCAACTTTAAAAAAAAAATTGAAGCAGGATTCTGGAATACAGTAAAATGATGTTTAATGCCAAAATATAACTAGTCCAAAATTTCATGGGAGAAGCATATTACACATAAACAGCTACTGAAAACAAAAATTCACTAGACTTTTTAAAAAGCATTGAGAAATGCATCACAGGAGATGGCTGTACTTACCTTCACTGGATTCCATATCTTGATTTCTTTTTGCATCTTAGTTCATAGGATTTTGCTAGAAATGTCTCTGTACAGACTCCTTTTGTTTTTGGTATTGGGGATTGGATTCAGGGCCTTTACACTGAGCTACATCCTCAATCTATTTTTTTTAGTTGTTGTTTTGAGACAGGGTCTCACTAAGTGGTTAGGTTGTCCAGGTTGGGCTTGAACTTAGGATTCTTCTGCCACTGTCTGTACAGAATCTTTTGAAGACAGACTTACTTCTTTCTGTATTATTTACAGCATTTCTTTCAATTTTTACAAAGTTGTAAAGTATGCATTTACACAGACACGTAAGCTAACCAAGTTCTTTTAATCAATCAAATTTAGTAAGATGTAACCATTCTTTATTTTTTGGTATAAATTCTTTGAAAATTTACAAGGAGTTAGGTATAGCTAAAGTCATTCTACTCATACAAAGAGTTCCTATTTTAAGGTGAATTCCCTAATTTTATGTAAGAGTTGTACAAGCTTTTCCATATCCAACATTTCCATATGACCAGTAAGACAAAGGCCAATAAAGGCCACATTCCTTCTACCCATCCTCCAACTTCAGTGCTTTCATAAGAGTCTTCTCCAGTTAGTATTCTCTGATGTTAACCAAGGGAAATGCTGGATGCTTGCCTTTCTCTATTGTAACTTTCTGTTTAATTTAATAAAGCATTAATGGTGATTAAAGGAAACCACATATTTAATGTATTAGTCTGGTATGTTAACCACTTACCAGTCCAATTATTTAAATACAGGATAACCAAAAATTGTATATTTTTTCATTACTTTTTATAAGATAACAGGAAATATAAAAACAAAAATTTTATCAAATTTATTCAATACCTGAATTGACTGGCAAAAATGACATAGGCCCAAGAGACACTCGGGACAGTCTATATGGAAACAAATGTGCTGCCTGAGTGACCTGGGGGTAAACTGTTAAGTGGTTAGGATGTGGGCTGTGGCTAAAAGCCTTCCTGTGTGTGTTATATTCATATTCCTAGTTTGCCTAATAACACTGATAAAGTTTCCCTTTAGCATCAGTTCTATGGTTTGAACTCCCATAATATTGAATAGTCATTTCCTTTCAGAACAAATTATTTTTTGTGTGAAAGTCCTGAGTTATTTAGTATCAACCAAAGGTGACTGAACACACATATGCCCCGAGACCCAGGGATTCTACCACCTAAGTATAGACACAAAAGACAAATATGTTCTCAGAAACATTATTTATTAGGACCCTAAGCTGTAAACAATGTAAAAGTCCACAAATAGTAGAATGGATAAATTGTGATAAACTGATATAACAGAATTCTATATAGAATGAAAAATAAATGACCTTCTCCCACATGCATTGATCATGAGACTTAGAGACACACTGGATATTAAAGACTATATAATATATAATCCAATTTATATAAAAGTTTTTAATATGCAAAATTAATTTATGTTAGAAATTAAAACTATGAATAACTTTAAGGAGGTAACAACTGACTCCATATTTGCTGAGAAATACAAGTTCACCTCCTTTCTTTTTTTTCCCTAGGTACTGGGAATTGAACTCAGGACCTTGCACTTGCAGGCAGGCACTTGTGTGGCTGAGTTGTATCTCTCACCCCCACTTCCTTTGTTTTAAAGCACTTCTACTCACAGTGTATCGTTGGAGCACTGCCAGTCAGCCAGCTGCTTACTACTGATTAACAGAAAGACAAATATGGAAATAAAAACAAAAAATTTTGAATGTTTTCTTAGCAGTTTAACAGAAGAAGTTTTAATGTCCTGATTCTAATAACAAAAATTTAGGATTTTTTTCCTCAAAGATTCTCATCATTTATCCAGAAATTGTGCATGCATGCGCACGCCTGTGTGTGTGCATGTGTGTTTTATAGGACAGCAAAGAGTAAATATGTAATACAGTATCTTAAACCACTGAATATTATATTTGCAAGCAACACCAGGTACAGGGTTTACTATGACTTAAAGAGTTTTACAAAGAAGTTACATCAGAATTCTCATGGTTTCTACCTTATGAGTTTTCTGGTGGACAATGAGGTTTGATTTACAACTGAAGAACTTCCCACATTCTTTACATTCATATGGTTTCTCTCCTGTGTGAGTTTTCTGATGACGGATGAGGTTTGATTTCCTACTAAAGGCTTTCCCACACTGAGGACATCCACTGGTTTTTTCTCCTGTATGTATTCTGTGATGAACAGTAAGGATTGCCTTCTGGCGGAAGGACTTCCCACATTCGTTACAAATATAGGGTTTTTCTCCTGTGTGAATTCTCTGATGGAGAGTGAGGGTTGTCTTTTGGCAGAAGGACTTCCCACATTCATTACAAATGTAAGGTTTCTCTCCTGTGTGAGTTCGTTGATGTACAGTGAGGGTTGTCTTCTGGATGAATGCCTTCCCACACTCACTACACTGATATGGTTTCTCACCTGTGTGAGTTCTTTGATGATCAATGAGGTACGACTTCTTTCTAAAGGCACTTCCACACTGCGGACATTCATAGGCCTTTTCCCCTGTATGTGTTTTGTGATGTCTAGTGAGAGTTGCCTTCTGGCGGAAAGACTTTCCACAATCAAGACAAAGATACGGTTTGCCCTCTATATGTGTTTTTTCATGAAGATTGAGGGCTGTCTTCTGACGGAAGGCTTTGCCACATTGATTGCAAACATAGGGTTTCTCACCTGTATGAATTCGCTGATGTTCAGTAAGATATGACTTCCTTCGGAAGCTGTTTCCACAGTAAGGACACTGAAAGGGTTTCTCTTCTGTTTGAGAGTTCTGATGCATAATAAATACAGACTTTCTGCAGAGGAATTTCCCAAATTTGCTGTATGCAGAGGGCTTTTCTGTAAGATTATGGGGGTGGATACCCAGATCATACTTTTCCATGAAAGCAATTCCATCTTCATTGTATTCAAATGTTCTTTCTCCTTTGTGAGCTCTACTATGTGAAAATAACATTCCATCCATAAGGAAGGATTTGTTACATTCGTTATATTCAAATGGTTGTTCTGGAGTTTGAACTTTCTGCTGCTGAGTAAGCTCTTGTTTACCACTGAGGTCCCTTTCTGTTTGCTTATGGAGATTTACTGCAGGATGAATTTTTTCATGCTTAGTATTGAGGTTTGATTTTTCCCACCCAGTGCTCTCACCAACCTTTTCTTTTACAGGGTTTACATTTCTAATAACTAATTCTGAAATATTTTTCAAAACTTTTCCATCAGATTTATGTTCATAGAATGTTGTTTTTGAAACAATATGGTTCTTTCCTAGAGTAAAGGTTTTCCCATAAATGTTACTTCTCTCCTTAATTATTTTTTTGTGATTGATGAATACAACTGATCTAGAATGCATGTCTTGACATTCTCTCAACATCACTAAAACATCTTCAGCCTTTCCATCTTCTAGAAAAGAATACAATTAACAACACTGTAAGTCTTCATATAAGTGAAGAGGAAATATACAAAACATGAACACAAATTCTGCTTCGCCATTAAAATGAGAAAAAAATGGTGTGAATAACAACACTTGTATCATTGAGATGCTGTAACTATCTGTCCATATAACTATGATTTACTTTCTGTTGAAAGGAAAGCATCAGAAAAAACATACTCTAGATGTTGAGTATTTTGTCCTAAGGACAAGAAAGTGATTAAGAGGGTCCTTTTAGCCAATTATCAAACCTAAGGGTGGTGCTGGTCCTTAACTTACAGCTGGTGTCAGAAGGGAGGGTGTTTTTGTGTGGACTACTGCATCCTTAAGCTTCATAGTTGGCTAACTGTGCAAGAATCTATAGGAAACATATATAATATGTGTTACATAATGAAAAGTCCAGCTCTAAGGAATAAAATACATTTTTTTTCAGTGCTGAAGACTGAACTCAGGGCTGTAAGCAAGCTAAGTGTTCTACCACTGAACTATTTCCGTAGCCCACAGGAAGTATATTTAGGAGACTTGAACAAACAGAATTCTCAAAGAGAGAAATACATTACTAAATGGGGTATTATTCTGTCAGCTGTTACAAAGAAAGGATTTCCATTTCATATAAAAAGTAATATTTTTAGCATATTAACAATATAAACTGAAAGAACTGAGTAAAAAAAATCACAGCAAATCCAAAGAGAAATAGTAGCAGTTTACACCTGAAATAATATGGCTCTCATTTTAGAATAGGTCAGTGGTAAATGAGAATAGGAGCACATGTAATGATTTTACAGAGTGAGAAAATATAATGCAAACTGTGATGAGATCATTAAAGTATAATATAAATGATGGAATAGATGCAATACTATGGAGGCTGGTTATGGGAATAAAAGAATATAGAACCAAATGAGGATAAATAAATAAGATTATAGAAATGCAAATAAATAAGAAAATAAGAGTAAAGGTAACTATTATTTCAGATATATTGACAACCAAAAAGATGAGACAACTGATACTTATATTCCTGTAAATAGATTTAAATACACCACTAGAGTGAAAGAAATGGGCTGAAATGCCTGTCTAAAAGCCATTGGCATAAAATTAGGAAATCACAATTCGAGAATGGATCAGATTTTACAGCTTGCAGGACTTTTATAAAGACAAGAATTGAGGATGACAAAAGCTTCTTTTAAAAAATGTGGTATGTATAAGCAATGGAGTGTTTATTCAGCCATGAAGGTAAACAAAATCAGGTCATTTTCAGGAAAATGGATGAAATTGGAGATCATCCCATTACATAAAATAAGCTAGACTCAGGAAAAAAAGAATTGCATGTCTTCTCTCACACATGGAATCTAGAAAAAGAAAAAAAGACAACATGAAAGTAGAAGGGAGACTAAGAGAAGAGGAAAAGGATTGGGGAAGGGGAAAGAGAAGCGTAAGGGAAGTTAATGAGGGAGAGGACATAATCAAAGTATACTATCTGCATGTATGAAAATGTCCCAGCGAAGCCCATTACTGTAGAATTAATATGTGGTAATAACAAAGAAAGCTCCTTTAAGGGCACATTCGATACTAGTGAAAGTCTAATGAAACAAATTCATGTTCTTCTTCCTGCTTCTGTCTTGAGTGGGGATTACTTCTTGACTTCCTGGTCTGGCAGTGTTTCTTCCTAGCTCTTCCTTTGAAGATTCCTGATTCTGTGAAGACTTTCTGTTCTATTTGATTCTGTTTTCTCCTGGAGAGACCTCCCAGTTGACAGTATATGCTCCCCACATGCTTTGCCAACACTGCCCACTTCCTTTCTTGTTGGCATGATATTATGAACATTAGTAATCTATTTGGGAAAATTAAGATCTCTCCAAATTGGCTCCTATAAGAACTTTCCTTCCCATTCCTTCCTTCTTTTACCACATTCTCTTTTCCCTTTGGTTCCCTTGCATCCTTTGATATGTTCTCTTCAAGCTTCTATATTCTCCATCCCTCTGTCCACCCATGCCAGACCTTTCCCTCTCCATTCCAGCCCCTAGAGTTACCTTTAGGTACCCGACCCACCCTGTAAGCACTCAGAGGACTCAGGGACTTCAAAAGCAATTGCCTGTGCTGAGATGAAAAAGCAAACTGGAAGGAAAACTGGACATTGTATCCACTCAGTGGGCTTTGGAGACACCCAGAGGGCCACTACATGTCTCTTCAGTCACCTAAAATTCAGCTTTACAAGACTGCATAACAGGATAAATAAAAAACTTGCAAATTTCCTCCTCCACAACAAGTAACCTTAACTCATCCCATTATCAGAAACAATTCAAGCTGGGAATGGTGCAATCTCAACAGCATGGGAGGCTGGGGCAAGAAGATTGCAAGTTTGAGTGGTGTCTGCACAATTTAGTGAGTCAGCAAGACCCAGTCTAAAAACAAAAAATAAAAAGGGCTGGGAATGCATGAGGCATGATCAAAATATATGGTGAAAGTTGAAATTTTAACAGCTTACTACATAAAAGACATGCTGCCATTAACATGTTCAAGCCAGCTCTGAACCACACATGGATGTACCGCAGTGGTTCAGAGCCACACAACAGCAAGACATAAATTACGGCCTCATTGTGAACACATTCATCTCCGAGAGCACTCCCCTGTCACTTCAATTACATGAATCCCATGGTTCTTGCCACTTTCTGAAGTTCTGAAAATCCTTTCTTGTCTTTTTTTTTTTGTGTGTGTGTGTGGTACTGGGAATTGAACTCATGACCTCACACTTGCCAGGCAGGTGCTGAGCTGCTGAGCTATATCCCTGGCTACTCTTTCTTGTCTTTATGAGGTAGGATAAAAAAATATGCTGCATTGTCCTGTTCAGTGCCATCCAATGGAAAGGTAGGCTTGCAAAAACATTACAGTGTGTCTTCATCTACCTGCTTCACTAAATTTGACACTGAGACGTCTGACTTTTTGTCCAAAGTTAAAATGACCATGAAATGTGCTTTAGTCACTTTCCTTGTCACTGGACAAAATATCCAACCCTTAAAGGAGGATAGGTTTACTTGGGCTCATGACTTTTAGAGATTTCAGCCCATAGTCAGCCTGCTCCACCAAAGAAATGGCACGGCAAGGGGTGTATAGCAGAAGGAAGATGCCTGCTTCATGTCGGCCAGGGAGCAGAGGAAGGAAGGAGCCAGGGAAGGAGATATACCCTTCCAGGTCACACCTCAAGGTCTCACCTCTTAACAGCACATTTACCAATTAAACTGATCAGTGAATTAATCCACTGGCGAGTATAGTGCTGTGATCCAGTCACCTTCCCAAACTTCTACCTCTGAACAGATAAGGCTTTGGGGGAGGCATTCTAGATCTAAACCACAACCAAAGGTAAATGTTTTAAATCAATTCAGGACATGGAGGTAGCCATGACAATGCATCTAAAGATACTTATAAAACAGGACTGCTAGAACTGCTTCAGAAAGTGGCAAGAATTGTGAGATAAGTGTGTTCAAAGTGAGGGAGACTGTTTTCTCTTTTGTTTTTTGGTACTGAAAACTGAACTCAGGCCTTTGCATGTGCCAGGCAAGTGCTTGTGCCACTGAGCTATATCTCCGGCCCTAAGGGAGATTGTTTTGAGGGGGATTAATGGTAATGTGTCTTTTATTTTTTAGTAAAAAACTTAAAAAGCCTTAAGTATCACTATATTTTTCAATTACACGTTGTATTTGCGGCATAATACTGTTTGTATATTCTCTGATTATCCTTGCAATGTCTGTAGGGTCTATAGTGATGTAGCATCTCATCTCACCTCATCTCATCTCATCTCATCTCTTCTCATCTCTTCTCTGCTCTTCTCCTCTCTTTTCTCTTCTCCTCTCTTCTCTTTTCTTTTGTCTTCTCCCCTCCCCTCCCCTCCTCTCTCCTCCCCTCCCCTCCCCTCCTCTCCTCTCTTCTCCTTTCTTTTCAGACAGCATTCACTATATAGCCCAGGCTGGTCCCAAACCCATGATCCTTCTGCCTCAGCTTTTTTGGGTACTAGAAATTCTGGTGGGCACCACTATGCCTGGCTTCCTCTTTAATTTTTTATTGGTTGTTGTTGATTTGTTGTTTCTTTGTTTTCTGAGACAGGGTCTTCCTACCTAGTTTAGGGTAGCCTTAAACCCACTATTTAGCCCACGTTGGCCTTGAACTCACAGCAATCCTCCTGCTTTAGCCTTCCAAATCCTGAGATTACAGGCATGCAGCACCATGCCCGGCTTCTCTTTAATCTTTGATATGAACAATTTGTGTCTTCCTTTTTTTTCCCTTGAGTAGTATATATATTGTTTACTAATTTTATTAATTATTTTGATGAATCAGCTTTTGGTTTCACTTATATTTTTCAATGTTCTGTTAAGGAATTTGATTCCTGCTTTTTTCCCTCTTACTAACTTTAATTAATTAATTAACAGGGCTGGGGGTTGAACCCAGGGCCTGGGCACTGAGCTACACTGTCTATTTTCCATTTTTTATTTTGAGACAGTCCTGCTAAAGTGCTAAATTGTTCAAGTTGGGCTCTAATTTATAATCCTCCTGCATCAGTTTGGGATTACAGGTGTGTGCCACTATTTCTAACTTCCTTTTACTAACTTTAAGTTTGGTTTGGTTTTTTCCTGGCTACTTAGGATGACATTTTTGAGTGTTGATTTAAGCTCTCATAAATTTTGGAATGTTGTACTTTATTATCATTCAGTTCAAAATACCTTCCAATTTCTTAGGATTTCATCTTTGATTTATTTCTTATTTAGAAATGTAGTGATTCATTTCTAAATATTTGGGAGGAATTTAAAGATATCTTTATGTTTTTGATCTAAATTAATTTTATTCTGAGCAGAGACTGTATTTTTTGTTTGTTTTTTTTTGTTTTTGTTTTTCTCCGGTACCAGGAACTGAACTCACGACCTTGCGCTTGCCAGGCAGGCGCTTTTGCCGCTGAGCTAAATCCCCAGCCCCCCAGAGACTGTAT